GGTTCCTGAGAAAAGTTTTAAAAAGTGATCCACTAACCAATATTCCCAGCTGATTCAGGTTTTATCCTCACAACTGTTTTTGTACAGTATCCCACGTGTATTGTCTGCACAATTATAATTAGGCAATGTCGTACCATTTTTTGAGAATCCCGACTCTTCTATCTATCCTATCTCTTTACCTTGTCGTTTTGCACCTGCGCATCAAACAGAGGTTATGATCACACACAAAAGATAAGTCCTACTGGATCTAACTGTAGTTATCTCATCGGGTCCCTGGGAAGTAACGCATCGGGTACTGGGAACCCCTCTGTCCCTCCCTCTTCACTTTTAGGCCACGCCCATTTTCTTCGTATGATCCCCGAAATTGAAAATCATTTACCCTCTTATCTACTCTCGGAATCATACNCTCTCCTCTGATATCGATACTTGATACTTAATCTTAACTTTTTCTGTTTTTTTATTACTGCTACAATGTCTGTGAACACTGTCACCACCATTTTCCTCAAAAACGAGCACATCTATGTAGATTCAACGTTATCCTCATATGGAGATGATTTCGAAGGATCCAACTTCACTAACGCCAACATTGAAATTTGAAGATGCCGGATTGGAAGCTGAAACAGAATATGATGTCTCCCTGACCATGGAAAAATTGGACTCGAAGAGATATGGATTCGACAAGAAGACTCAACATTGGGAGGAATCGAAGAAAAGAAGCTCCAAAGAATTCCACATTCCTGAATCGATTGGTCGCATTAGATATGGAAAGGATTTGGATTTGCATTTCGAAAGTATCAAGATCTCATCAAGAAGCCGAGATCAGAACTTAGAGAACGTCGTGTATGTTCAGACAATGCAAAAGTACGTCCCAGTGATCACCATAACCAATCTGGCCTCCAAGGAAACTGTTGCTCATGTGGTACTCGAAATGGCGCAATTTATTCCGGTGACCATTTATCAAGATCAAAGTATTGGAAAATGGAAAGCCCAGCACAACAAGTATGCAACAGTCAGATATGGTGGAAAAGGCATGGAACAGAAGAAAAAGGAGAAGACTCAAGAACCAATTTTGGAAGACAATTCAAATTTTAGACAAGATCCTATTAGTCGTGTCCTTGAAGTCGACAAAATTTTAAACTCTTCAAGTCCAGTAAACGCAGTGCCACAAGTCTGTTCTCAGTATCCAATGATGCCATAAAATCACAATATCGAGCAGTATCATTATCCAGCAATTAGGAACAACTACTCGACAGAAAACAAGGAGAATCAAACGGACATTTCTGGAGAATCAAACGGACACCTCCTAGAAACCTGCCATGAAGCCGATAATCTTTTGAACTCTTCGAAGCCAGTCAATTCAGTACTATATCCCTATTCGTCAAATCCGATGACGTCACAAGAAAACAATTCTTATCAGTATACATCAATGATGAACAACTCTTGCTACACTTCAGAAATGACTTATGCTTATTTGATGAACTACAATTGATATTCCGGTTACTATTCCAATTATCAAATGCCATATCAGTCTAATTACCATTTTTAATTTTTGTGTATATTTGTATTTCTTGTATTTTGCACTTTGTGGTCTTTGCGAAGTGAAACATCTGCTTCTTTTGGCCTTAATATTTGTTGAGCAACTATTATTGGATATATATATATATATATATATATATGGACATGACCCTCCGACATGCATTCCTTAGTTTTTGGAGTTGACTGACAGGATTTTGTACGTATTCCATCAATCCTTGCGTAGAAGTTTTCACTATTGTTCAATTTACTAAACATATACCACCAATCACTGTAATAGGCGACACCATTTAATGTTGCACCTTGACTTTCGCAGTGATTTCGAGAATAATTGTAAGAAAGTGCAGTACCATTCGAAGCATACAACTCCTGGAATATTGCAAGAAAGGTACAGATTAGCAGTGGAAAACAACATACCCTGACACAAGAACTAATTAAATGCATGCGTGTTGTCCTATTGTTTCGAACTAGGGGATCGAAATTTTCTGGGCAGCTGAAGTTATCTAAAAGTTTCACTATCCAATGATTTTCGAATATTTTTGCCAAAAAAAACGTGAAATTACGACAGCTTTTAACTTCCACTCACAATCATAATTAATTAGCCATGACGATCCGTTTGTATAAATGTCATAATTGACCCACATGGTTATAAGATCAGAAGGTCCTTGGAAAAATATAGTTCCCTGAAGCATATACTTTTTTTCAAAAAAGTTCATCTCTCATAACTTACACTCATATTGCTCGGTGGCCCCGTAGAACACTGCCCGTTTGTAGAATTCGCCTTAAATGCTACAACAGATTTATCCTTGAGTTTTGTACGGGTTACTGTACCCATTGTCACTTCATTGAACATGTAGCAAGTTTCGTTTTGATTATGAGCTAACTGAGAAACTTGAAGGATATTTTAAACACTTGCAACAACTTACAATGCAATTTTCAGAGGAGTAACATTTGGCCATGCATACATTCCATTGAGTATTTTTGATAGCTTGTGCGTCGTTCAAGAAATTCGGTTGACCCCAAACTTCAATCATAGCATGCTTATTTGGAATCTGGAAGTTTAGATATGAAAAAAGTTGAGACTTGACTCTTACAGCAGTTCTAAAAATTGGTAGCAGAATAATGAGAAATTTCATAGTTGCTGTTAGAACAAAATTGAGCTCTTCATCTTTTATTAAACAAAATATTCTAGACTTTTACGGATGGGTGGGTATGAGATGGCCAGTCAATGGGCTCTGTGATTTTTGATGAGCGTGCCGAAAAGAAGTCCAAGTTTTTTCCTGAACGTTTTCGAAGGGTGTCTTTTTTGAGAAGTGGTAAAAAAAGAAACTAAACCTATTGGCGAAACACTGAAACGGTTCAAATTTATTTTTGCGAAAAATTGTACATGTTTCAAGTGAAATCGGTATTTGACTTCCGATGTGTTTCAAGATGTATAAATGTTATAATAACTCGATTCCTGATTATTAGAAGTATAATTTTCAAAAAGTGTGGATCACTGCAAATGATTATCTTGTCATCTAATAGTCTGAAAACATACACTCATGTTACTGGGCTCTTCATCAAAACATAGTTGTTCTTTTCAGCATTCGCTTTGAAAGCTACTAGCAATTCATTCTCGGATATTTGGATTCTAAAGTCTTTTGGAGACGTTCCTTGGTTTCACCGCATGAAGGGCGGAGAGCAGAAAACGTGAGGGAACAAATATTTATTTGGAAAAAAAACATGGATAATATGAAGACAAGTGGTCGTTGGTGGAAAAATATAGAGAAAAAATGAGATTCTAATGATAAAGATGTCTCAACTCATTGTCGACCGTACTCCCATTGAGAAACTCCTTCAACAAATTGTATTTCCTTGGGATTCCATGCATTTCAATTTCGATTGCATCCGCATAGTCATACTCTTTCTCTTCACATTGCTCTCCTTCGAATCCCACACCACATTCACAAATTGATCGATCTACTGTGTCCAGCGGATTCAGGAATTCCGATACACAGTATCCGTGATTCATACAGGGAAGCGTGCATTCGGTTTGAAGAAGCGGAATATCACAATTGGGACCAGAAAGCATAAAGGGGCAGCCGAGGGTACCATTCTGCGTACAACGACGATTTATGATTCTCGCGTGGTCGTCGTTACAGAACTTGTCGCAATATGGACCGTGCCAGTTTCTGGAAAAAAGGAATTTGGGGGATAAAAAAATGTTCATAATTTTTAGCCTCCGTAAAAAAAGAAAATTTTTGAAAATTGAGTATTTTAACTTTGAGCCAATTTATCTCTTTTTCTTTAAAAGATGTCAAAAAATGGTGGACTGATAAAATATTGCCGAGATTATGATAAACACTTTGTCGATTTCTCACGGGAAATGAGATATGTAGTCTCGAAGTTGATTTTAGTTCATTTTATATCAATTTGACCTTACCGATTACATTGCACATCAATTCGGAATCCAGTAAACGGCAACTGTATTTCATCCGGCGCGATTCTCATAGTTTTTGTGTTCCATCGATCGGATCGAATCGTTGCATAGTGTAAACCGAATTTATCAACGGGACCACTATTGATAAGTACAGTACCCGGACGATGGAATTTGACAGGTATGTTGGTTAGAATTCGAGTGTGGTCCGGGACCAAAGGGACATTGTAGACACGTTTGTTCGTTGGAAAATAAATATCCTCGGTGATGGTTACGGTAGCGTTTAGAAGAAATGGCGATTTTAAGCGGATTTCTAGGTAACCAGAAGATTGAGAGTTTGGGATGAGTAAGAGGAGAAAAATAAGAAAAATGTGGAGTTTAGGGGACATGGTTGTGGTCCGAATAAAGAAAAAAACAGAAAATATTTAGGGTTTTCTATACGACCAGTGTGGTCCTGATAAGATAATGGTATTGATAAGATGCATATAACCTTTCTTTTGACAACCTTTCTTTTTTGATAAGATAAAACTTCAGAAAAAGTGATTATAATGATAAAATAACGAAAACTAACAAAAACCAAAAATTACTGAATTTCTGAATTTCTAAAACTATGAGTATCTAAACTGCCAATTTTTTGAGTGCCGATCTTTAAAAAACAGATAAGGTTACGGGTACTGTGGGAGGAGCTCAGGAGATCAAGCTCCGGAGGGGTTTAAACCGACTGGTTAAACTTAATGCCAATAGTTTCATATTTTTGGAAGACGAATGAGTTTTTGATCATTTGACTGACAAAAATTCCGCAGAAAAGTTCTAGATGAATGAATTTGGTACACCCGTTTCGATGGATTTTTACGAGGTCGTTAGAGGAAAAGAGCGAAGTGCCACCATTCTGCGTTAAAAAAGATAGTTTCAAAAAATGAGAGTAAATATAAAATTTTTTCGAAAACCTTTATCTCTGAATCTTCAATAGGGAGAAGCTAAAAACAATTTTTATCTCACAAGATCGGACAAGACGTCCAGATCCTAGACAAAACGCATAAGTCAGTGGCCGAGGGTGCTTAATCAGCTGAATATCCGTTGACTGAGATTATCAATTAAAAGCACCTGTAACTCGGTAGGTATCTAACTATAAGTTCCTAAACTTGAAAATTTAAATAGTTCATGAGCTAATTGTAAACATTTAATGAACTAAAGGTATTGATAAAACACTGAAACGGTCAAATTTTATTTTTGCAAAAAAAACTTTTGCATTTTTTCACTGAAATGATATTTGACTTTCCATCCGTTTCCAGTTATTAAAATATCATAATAAATCTAATGCTGTTTCTTAGAAGTTTCATTGAAAAAAAGTATGGATCCCTGAAAATGGTTTTTCAAACCATCTAATAGTTTTAAAACTTACGCTCATGTTAGCTGACGCTTCATCGAAACATTGTTGACTCCCGTCTTCAGTATTCGCTTTAAAAGCTACTATCGATTTATTCTTGGCTTTTGTACGGGTTACTGTACCCATTTTTAATCCTTCTCATAAATATTATATGCCGTTTTGTGTATCTACACCTTTTATTCTACATTCAAGAATCACGCTTCCAAAAACTAACGATGCAATTATCATAAGCATGGCACACCAGCATACAATTATTCCATGGAGCTTTTCCAAAGCTTTTCGCATTGTTTAGTGATTTCGGTGATCCCCAAACTTCAACCATTACATGACTACAGGACGTCTGAAGATCAGCGTATTCAGAAAACTCAGAATCTTTCAAAAATACCAGAATAACAAAAATTAAAAAGAATGCTAACAGCTGCATATTTTTTGGGAGAAGAGTGATATTCTGTTGACAGGCAAAATGTAGAGTTCTAGATGAATGAATTTAGAATTCCCATTTTGATGGACTTTTACGAGGTCGTTGGTAGGGAAAAGAGAAAAAAGAGAAAAGAAAAATATTTTTCGAAGAAGGTGATAGTTCCTGGCAAAAACATTAAACTTGAAATCTCGCAAAAACTTCAATTAAGCTCCTGAAACTGTGGAAGTTTTCATTCCACGCTATGCATCAATAACTATAACATCTTCATTTCTTTCTCAGCAGAGAACAAATAAAAATTCGGGCATGCATCACAGTATCAGTACAGGCTCTAACGTCCATCTTGACTGCAGCATTTCCGTCTATAATCATTACAATACAATCTTCTCCTTTGACATGTTGAGCACTCGAATTTGTTACCCATTTGTAAAGTGAAAAATCAGGAGTTGGTCCGGTAAATGTGAATCCCTGAAATTGATTGGTTGTTTTGAGGGAATAAAATAAGCGGGAAAGAATAGAAGAGATAGAGGCCGAAGTCATACCTTTTCAGACATACAATATGCTGTTTTTGGAGTCTTTTGACATGCCGCTGTCCTTATTCCATCGACTCTCACATAAGCTTTTGTGTCTTTTATTTTCCCCAGATACTTCTTCGCTGATTCTAATTTAGGAATGTTTAACAGACATTATCGTTCATAATAACAAATTACTCACCCACAAACATCGCGACGTCCTCTTTATACTTAAATCCAGCCATGTCATATGCATACTTGTCACAAGTTTCTTTTACTTCGTCATAGGTGTACCCAGTAGTGTATTCATTGTACCAAACCTAAAAAATAACAATAATTAGGACTTTTTATAAAAAGTGTTTCCTCACAAAAGAACACGAAACTGTTGAGTCTGCATGAGAAACAAAGCCATCATACTGGTATTCACCGCAAAACCTGTCCTCTAAAATTTCGGATAAGTTAAAATTTAGGAAAATTCGAGAAGTTCAAACCTTCGTAGTTCAGTTTCCAAGTTCCTTCCGTATAATAAATGTTGAAGTGAACCCACATTGGGGGTATTTTGGAATCATAATCGATGTAGAGAGAGCCCTACAACATAGACTTTTCAAAATATTATTCTAAACTCTCACCGTTGCATTCTTGTTCCCAAAAGTTGGTGGATTACTGCCACTGGGGCACTCTTTACTCTTGTTTTCTATTTTGAATGCCACTATTGATCCGTTTATTTGCTTAGTTTGAGTTATAGTTTCCATCAGCCAATAGTCAAATGTGTAGCATGTTGATCCATTTTTCCAGGCGGCCTAGAATCAAAATCACACAATAAACTTTGACTAAATTTATTAAGATTCCTGTAAGAGGTATCAAAAAGTTGAAAACTGGTAAAATGTTGGTGATATTATGATAAACAGTTTATTAGATGACAAATGTTTGATATCTTTTACAAGAATGGAGATAACTGAGCTCAAAGCTGATGGTTTAGTTGGGCTTCTATCAGAGCAAATACGGTAGCTATTTTCAGATTAGTTCAATTTTGTGAATTATGAACACTTACTACACAGCTTTGTACATGATAGCATTCTGCAATACACTCATTCCAACTTTTTACTTTTGAAGAATACACCTCTTTGGTGGTTGTAGGCTTTCCATAAACTTCAGCCATTATCAACGCGGCGTTCTGGAAACTTGGTTGATATTTTTAGAATAGAAAGACCTCATTCTTACAACAGATTCTATTAACATAATTGAGCAGCAAAGAAAATGAGCAAGTTTCATTTTTTCAAAGTAGTGTCTAGCCAAGGGATGCAAAGTTGAAGTGGGCATAAAGGACAAAAGAACCAAAAGTCGGGAGATGACAAATTTAGACAATAAAAGTAGCTGACATTCTTCAAAAGAAGTTTTCCTTTTTTAATTTAGTACTGATGATTATAGAGATCCCAAAAGTTTAGAAAATTAAAAAAAAAATCTATGAGAAGTTTTTTTCTAAAAAACAATATTTTAATGTTTCAAGTGATAAGTGAATTTAGAAGGTTTTTTGGTTAAAATTACTCGTGCACTTCGTTCGATGGTTATGCTAATACATAATTTAATGCACCCACTGTACAAAAAATATAACTATTTAAAATGTTTTGGTATTACATTTTTTGTGGCGGATAGAAAATGTTGAGAACAAAACTAGGATGAAACAGTTGCTGACAAAGTGAAAGAATTGAAATCGAATCATGGTTTCGAAGTTTTTCCCTACCTTGCAACAATATTAGATCGACTGGTTGATTATGGAATAGTTGCCGGGAAACCCTTCAACTCGATCTAAAGGTTTCCTCTCCCAAGCAATGACACTCCGCTATTCCGCTCCGAATCAATTAAAATAAGTTTATAGAGAAGAGTACAAGTTTTGATTTGGCTCGGGTTCTAGACATTCTTTGAGAATTTCAGGTGTGTTTTAAAATTATTTTGCTCAATTTCCAAGCTTCTCACTTGCATATGAGCCCGGTTTGTTCAGAATAAATCTTCTTTGTAACATTCGAAAATCCCCGATTCAGCGTTATCATTTCATCATCGAGCTATTTATAATAGCTTCATTTGCTTCAAAATTCCATCTTTTTTTGAATCTTCTAGTTTCCGTCGGCAAAAGTCGGCATCCCGCCAAAAAGGTGTCCCGACAAAAAGGTTATCACCTTTTTGTCGGGACACCATCTCCTTTTCTCTACGTCTCTTCTTCTCCCCCATTCGATTCCTTTGTCGGGAGCCGACCACCTGTCACCGCCAATAAAATTACCCTTTTATGTATTCTCTGCGTCTCTTCTGATGGTATAAAAGACCTCGATAGCTCACAATATTCATTAGTCTTATTCTAAGCGGATGTCTGATTTTTTCTGCTTCTAAATGATTTTTTCTGATATTCTATGTATATTTCTAGTTATTCTGAGAATGAGTGTGTATCGATCCAGGATTTCTTTTTTTTTATTTTTCTGAAAATGTAAGTTTTCGTTTTTTTTTTTAATTCTGAGAAATTCTGACTCAAAACATCTCAAAGTGTGATCTAAAACCCCAAAAATTTAGGTCTAAAAGTTATAGGTCCTGAAAACATAGTTCAAAAACCAGTTTCTCATACTTTTCTGAACATTTATTTTTTATGCCTTTTTTTGGTTTTCAGAGAGCAATAGGTCCATGTTATTAGAAAACAACTGTAGACCCGGACACATACCAAGCTCTCGATATCGACAACTTTCGACTTCTTACTACTACCATCAAACGACTACTGGCCATCGGAGGAGGATATCATTGAGGAAGGAATCCCACTATAGAAGTTCTGGCAAAAGCCCGGAGACTTGGCTAATGTTGGGAACAGTACCTACCATTGGGTCCAGTCCAATGATTTCACGGTAAACACTTCGTAGAACACCTTCGTTCAACTGGCAACAGCAGCGGTCGTCAACGACAACTACTTGGCAAACCAAACGTCGTCAAGTATGCGACTGGAAACAATCTGCTGGAACATAATCATTGAAGGTTTCGAAATGGACCAACGAATGAAGGAACTGGTTAAGAGAATGACTATGAGGTAATTAATTCTTTTTTAAAGGTGGGGGGACATGAAAAAAATTATTTTCTCGAAATTCCGTTTACATACGCCCCTCGAGGAGTTGAACTTGTGAGGGCGAGGATTGAGGGTGCGGCGCCGCTACCGACTGAGCTACACGGGCAAAGAGAAAGCGGCCTTCGGATTGCATACATAAAGGCGAGGACGACAGCTGTACGCAGAGTGACATTAAGCGTTGTACACCGTGACGGTAGAATGCATACTCTGGCCCCGAAAATCCCCCGTAAAATCTCCTGTCCCCCCACCTTTAATGAAAAAATCAAGTTTAAAAATTCCAGAAGCCTCTCGAAAATTCAAAGAGAGCATGATTTCTTCGCGAAGAAGAATATCAAGGTCTTCGAGCCAAGCGAGCTCAACAAAGGAATCTATGAAACGGAGAGATGTCGCTCGTGCACCGACAATCTTCTCAACTACATTCCTCTCATCTCCACCTACACGTCGAAGGATCCCAGGACCGGAAAACCAACCAATACTCTGCAGCCATATTGCATCAAGTGTGTGGAGAGGTAACGGATTGCTTATGTCAAGTTCTTGCTTGAAAAAAGTCAATTTTCAGATTCCAAGAGTAGAAAAGGTGCAAAGTGTATTCCCGACACACAATGGAGGACCTGGTCAAGTACTTTGATACTTTCACTTCAATCTTTTATCATTGCGTCTTCCTTCGATCATTTTTGACTTCTGAATAAATTAATTACAAATTGAGAGTATGTGGTTCATAAAAATAGTTATCCTGTAAAAAATTGATACAAAATGTATTGGTCTGGTGGATGTGATGGGATTATGAAACTCTGAAATTCTGAAATAGAAATCTAAGGGGTTAGGTTTTTTTCCGGCCACCTGAATAAACCCATACTAAAGGAGAAGAAGACTAAGGGCAAAAATAATATAAAACACACAACGATTTGGAGGGCGCTGGTGAATGTGTGCAAATATTATATAAAATGTGAGAAAATATGCTTGAACCGTTTTTGAATTTCTGTCGGAAAATGTCGGCATCAAAAAGGTGTCCCGACAAAAAGGTAAAAATAACATTTTCTCTGCGTCTCTTCTTCTCCACCGTTCGATCCCTTTGTCGGGTACCGACACCCTGTCGCCGCCAATAACATTGTCCTTTTATTTATTCTCTGCGTCTCTTTTCATGGTATAAAAGACCTCGACTAGCTCACAATTATTCATTATTCTTATTCTAAGCGGATGTCTGATTTTTTCTGCTTCAAAATTATTTTTCTGATATTCTATGTATATTTCTAGTTATTCTGAGGTTGAGTGTGTATCAATCCAGAATTTCTTTCTTTTTTATTTTTCTGAAAATGTAAGTTTTTTTTTGAAAACTGTTGACTCAAAAATCCCCAAATTTTGGCCAAAAATTCAATAAAATAGAATTTTTCTTGGCCCCTCTAACTAAATTTCTGAATTTCTGAGTTTTTAAATTTCCGAATCTTCGAATTTATGTGTTCCTCAAAAAAAGTTTCTGAAATTCAGAAATCGAGAAATTCCAAGTTCAAAGATTTGAATTTTGAAAAAATTCAATAATTCGAAAACTCTAAAAATTTATAACTTTATTGCCTATTTTAATTTTTTTAAAGATTTTCAAACTTCTAAAGTTCTGGATTTCTGAATCTCCAAATCTAGATTTTTTGAATTTCTGGATTCCCGCATTTTCCAGTGTCTGATTTTATCAAGCAAATTCGAGAAATCTAAATATCAAAACGTCAGGACTCCAGAAGTTCGAAAAAACTAAACCCTCAAATTCTCAAATTTAAAAAGGCATCAGCAAAATTTGAATTCAATTTTTTAAGCTTCTCCGGCTTTCATTTCAAAAAAAAAACTTAATTGTAGATGTGTCGCAAGAACAGTTGCTAGGAGGAAGCTGGACCGAAGGGAGCGATTGGAAAAGGACAAACTTGAGAAAATGGATCGCAAGAAAAAGGAAAAAGGTGTGGCAGCAAATGATGGAAAGGAATGGGACCATTGGCGAGAGATTGACCGATTTCTGCAAAGAGAACGACATCGCTGTTCCGGAATACAAGTTTCACTATAAGATGATTCTCGTGTTTCTGAAGCCTGATGAATCAGAAGAAGGTCAAGATAAGGCGAAAGATGAAGCACTGTTCCTCGCTTACACTGTTCATGAGTTTGGAGCAGGCAAGGAAACTACACCAAAGTCGAAATGGACAGTTCTTGGATATCTGGACTCGAACCGTTATATCACTGAAAGCATTGTCTTGTCGTACTTCGTGTATGCTGCATCCATTGGCTACAAGATGTGTCAGTTCTGGTGTGCAGCTCCCGGTGATTACTATTATTTGTTCAACGATCCTATGCTAGACGGATGTACAAGAACTTCTCGAAAACTTCTATTTGGATGGTGGATACTGGCCAAAACGAATCGAGGCATTTTTGAAGGAACATTCGAAGAACTTCACGAGCAACTGGTGCAAGAAATCAGCAAAAACAGCGATTCCTTTTTCGTCGAGTTCCATTGATAACTCAACTCCTATCGTACCCACAATGAAGACGACTCGTTCAAAGGAGGACTTCCTGCCAGTTCAGACACAAAACGGACTGCGGTACTCAACCAATCGTTTAAGAATAATTAATTCGAATAAATCATTTAAATGCAACACCACTGAACTTAATATTCAAGTAGAGATGTGTACGAGAAAAACACTTCCGTATCTGAATCTATACTGGACATTCTGATAAAAGGAGTTAAAGAGTTGCTGCATATCCCAAGCTTCATCATGGTTTTTGAGATCCTCTAAATTTTCGGAAAAAAATAGTTTGAATGTTTCTTTCAATTATCTAAAAAGAAGGGAAATTGAAAAGGATATTAAAGGGGGACTCCGACCAAAAATGTTTATTGCATTAAGAA